CTGTCATCAACCACCCTGTACAAATGAAAAGGCCGGTAAATCTCCGACGGAGTGCAGCCAGAAAACGCAGCATCCACTCGTTCTCGGAGCAGGTGATGAGCTGATCCAGCACCTGGAGGAAATAAAGCAACCCTTGGTTCAACTCCCTGTAGCAAGACTTCTTCGAATAGAGGTTGCCTTTTTCTTCATCGCAAGCTGAACGCGCACAGGTTCATCCCAGCGCCACAAATGTAAAGCGCGGACATGCGCTGAGAACCTCAAACCCTTTCAAACACGTGTGGGTGGCTAAACTTATGTACCTGGGAGGATGGGCCCTGCGCACAAACAACAAACGCACATTCCAGGTTCAGAACATGTCTAAATTATGTTTTCTGGGCGTACTCCCAAGCTCAAAATGTGGCCATCAAAAACCCCCACACCCATACCCACGACTCACTAATTGGAGTCTCCCCATAGATGTGGAGGCTCAGGCCCCAGCTTTCCTGATCTCAGAAGCAACGGCTCTTGCCTGGGCCCGGGTCATCCTCGACTCATTCACCTCCGGGCGCTGGCCGCTGGTTTTTTTGCTTCGGTGTCCCTGGGTGTGAAAACAAAACATACCTTGGACCATCTCAGACTAAACATGCTAAACTGCATATCGGAAAATGGAAAGCCTTCGGGGTGACTGCACTCGTCACAGCATCGATGTGTTCATCTTCACAGTCCACACACCTCAGAGGAACGTGGGTTGGTGGCACAAAAACTCAACATGTTGAAGCAACAAATTCACCAAAGAAACTGGGGCATGAGATCTTCAAGGCATCGGAGATGAGCCTGGAGAGTACCACGCAGTTCGTGGTCCTTTGGCAACTCAAACTGCGCAGTTGCACAACCATTGATCTCCTTCTTCAGGATGGCGCCTCAACAGGTCACATGTTTGTTGAACTTGTGTTGGACGCCCTCCCAGACAAACTAGCACAACAAAGGTACACAAAACAAATTGTTGGAAACAAATCTGTGGCAGACATGCTACGGAGAGCAGCACGCTTCTCATCAGCCGTCTTGGGTGTCTGCGACTGCGTCTTGACTTTGGCCTTGGCCTTGGCTTTGGCCTTCGCTTTTGCTTCAGGCACGGACGTTCCACTGCCACCGCCACCATTCAGGGTAGCCGCAACTTCCATCAAATTCGCCAGACTTGGACTCACACCTGCTGAACCGTCAGTGATAGCAACCTGCGATGGAGTTGGGCAGAGTGCTGGGTTGTTGCCAGCTCGACCGATCATGCTCAAGACATTTCCCTCCGTGCTCTCCACATTGATGGTCGTGGTTCCAGTGACGGTGGAGCTTTCCCGCTCAGATATGGAACCACCAACAGTGCACCAGTACCGTGTACTGAGCGGGTCTGATGGACAGTCAGGGTCAGGCTGAGGGTTGCCCCGCTGAATGATACTCTGGATCTTCATCCTTGCATGGGAAAGAGTCATCCACAACAATTCAACCCCGACCGAACCAAAACAAAACATTAGAAGCGCTAAAGTTCATGTCAAAAACTTTAAATTCATCTCCGAGATTCTCGCTGAAATTGCGCTCCTTCATCTGTGGGATTGTCAAGAGCTCCCGACCAGTGCGGATTTCAGACTGCTGTTCGCGGGACATCTGCAAAGTAGTTTCGCAGCTCTGCAAGTTCTCTCCGCTCCGGATGAAGGTTCTTAAGAGCTCCAGCTTCTCCTCGCAGGGTTTCTCAAATATCAAATGTCAAATGAATTGTCCCAACTTATCCAGCCCCCAAGAAAGAACTCTGAAAGCAGACTTCACCCTCTCCTGGCGACTGCCTCCCCACAATTTGCTCATGTGTGGAAACGATGCTCATCCGGCGAACCAACCTGGCATGAGCTGCCCGGTGTGTGCTGGAGTTTGGCTCTGGCACTTTTGGTGGCGGAGGCTGAACTGCATCTGCACTCTTCTCACCATCGCCCGAGTTCACCGGCTGAGGGTACAGGACCGTGGTAGCATCAGGATCAGGAACATTTGTCGTGCCACCTACTGGTAGGTGTGAAGGCTCCACCTTCTGAGGCTCCTCCTTCTCCGCCTTCTCATGAGACTCCTTCAGAGCAGCAGGAGCCGGCGTGGACATGGCAGGCTGCTCGGGAACCGGTGCAGCTGTTGCTGCTGGCCTGCTGGGAGCAGGCCCTCCACGAAGAGCATTCTGCATTTCCACGGTAGGGAGTTCCAAGTTCATGTTGGAAATAAGCTGCTGCGCCCAGGGTTCCTTCATCACACTTGTCAGCAGGGTCACCGCCTGAACAAACTCTGCAGCCTTGTCTGAATCCATCACTGCCGAAGCCGAAGGCCCTGGCCTGGAGACAGGTTTGCGAAACACACATCATCAAGCAAAGTATTAAGTCGCCAACCAGCACATGACACACCAAAAAGGGTTAAGCAAAGTTCCTCCAAGCGACTCAGAAAGGACGGAGCGAGGTGGTGTAGCAGGCGCCTTCGGATGATCGGAGGGAAGCTGACGATGGGAAGCTTGGCGTGAGATGAGTTCTTGCCCCAGGCGAAGCGTTGTGCAAGACCTTTGTGGGTGATTACAACCATCTTGAGAAAAATGTTCTCTCAGCCTGACCTGATTACCAACCAACAAAGAGCAAGGAAAGCGTGCTTTATCCAAACTTAGGAGCAACAAGGACCTGCTTGGTGTTCGCTTCTCATGGACAGTCTGATTTTCCGCCGTGGCAACCTCACCCACAGCCACAGTGGCCTCGAGCCAATCAAACATATGAGGAAGCAACATGAAATAGGGGAGGTGGTTTCCACTTTGAAAACTGGTCAACCCTGAAATCTGAATTTGGGCCGGTGAGGGCAATGGGATTGAACACAGGCCTCGGCATCTGCATCCAATGCCTGTGTCTCCATGGTGTCAATCAAAGCGCGCCTCGTGGTATCCGAGCCAGGCTGCACTAGCACTGATGCACTTGGCGCTTTGGGTGTTTCCACAGGAGGAATGGTGGGGTCTTCCTCCTGCTCTTCTTCCTCTTCCCCCTCGCACTCATTGCTGAAGCTCTCCTGAACAGCTTCCATCTCCTCTGCTTCAGCTTCCTGTGTAGGATCCCAAGCTACCCCGTCCGTTTCGTCCAGCAACATGTTCAACTCAGCATCAAGGTCAGCATCTATCTCGGGGCCCGTGGGGCCTGGTGGAGTAGGTGCGGAGGCTGAAGCGCTCACTGCAGGCGTTGACATTGCTGGGGGTGGAGGCGATGTCGTCCTTGCCCTCTTTGCAGGGGGCGCCGGCATGGACACTTCTGGCTCTGCCGGAAGCTCCTTGGAAGTGTACTTCTTCCAAAACTGCTCACCCTCCTTGGAAGGCCCAACCACCTTCAACAAGACCTCTGTGGCCTCCTTCTCAGACATGTCGAAGTGGCCCATCAACTTCTGCAAGTTGCTCCATGTCACTGCAAATTCTGGAGGTCCGGGATCTGCTTTGGCCTTGGCCTTCGCCTTGGCCTTTGGAGCACTTTTCGCCTTGGCCTTCCCCTTCGGGGATGGGCTGGCCACGGGAGGTGGGGGTTCAACAGGCGTCTGACTAGCAAGAGCGGCCTCTGTGGCTTCAATTGCCTTTCTGACATGTTGAGCACGCTTACCCATGGCAGCTTAAGGATTGGTCACCGGGAAACCAACTATGGGTCTATCTCAGGCTCAAGCAGTGCCAAACACATTAAGCAAAGACATATGTTTGCCAACACCCAAAACAGAGACGCGAACAAGCTCACCAAAATCAACAAAACTGTTTTCACGTTTTTCACGGCCTTGACACGCTTTTTCACGCCCCTATGCACACATTTTCACGGATAAGATTTTCACCGATAAATCCATGTTGTAGAACACCAAGAAAAGATTGTCATCTCAAAACATTTACAACACCCAGGTTTGTCATGTGTGGTGTCAGGTTACTCTGTTTTCACACTGTGGGAGTGCACTTTCACGGCGCCAAACCTGTAGTTGGCGGAATGAAAAGGCATAAAGCATCTTGAAACCATAGGTGGTTCAAACATCATTTTGACACACAAAATGTCTACAGAAGCCTTCTCACATGCACGCGCCCCGATCACGGCCTGTGCAAAGACCAACGTCATCAAAATAATACCAGCATGTGGGCAATCCGCACATGCACCAAACGCAAACATGAATATAGATTGCGAGCTAGCTAGCGGAGCCCCAACTTGCTCAGAATTTCATCCTTGGTGGTACAGTCGTGTATCTCTGCTTCCAAGAAGAGGTTCACAGAGTGTCTACCCATTAAAAAGAAAAGAATCATGAAACATGTTCTTTTCCCACCAGGGTACCCACCGTCCAGGAACAATAGTGTGCTTGCACTTGGCCAGGTAGTCAAGCAATGGCCACATATTTGCCTCCAGGGGGACGCTCGGCAACCAATCCGGCCACGACGTGTCTGTCAACTCTCCGAACATTTCAGGGATACAGTATACATGTTACATGTTTGAACAAATATATGAATTCACACCCCTTCTTTACCAACTAGCGGTCCACAGGGTTTTGGACAATTCGCCTGGTGCCAGAGATCCGCGCCATTCCGATCCATATTGGGAAGACAGTACTTCTGAAAGAGTTCAAAGTCTGATAGGCCAAGGTCCAAATCATTGTTCTTCGCCGCTGGCCCTGGCAACACATCCTTAGCCAGGTAGAAAGCTCTCACAAATGGCCCTTGCAAACGACGCTAAAAGAGTCCCACAACCTGTACATTCTTTAGTTGAACAGAAAGGTAAAACCCTACATACATGCATACATACATACAGACACACACATATATATATATATATATGTGTGTGTGTGTGTGGAGATGCACGCTTCGCGGACAGGCATTTACATTGTCCATCCAAGCTAAAGTTCATCTCGAACTTCCAGAGCCTGTTGCGCGATGAATTGGCCAAATTCCTTTGTATACGTCCTCAACAGTATTCGTGCATACACAGGACCCCTCCCAGACCTCCTGTATGTCGAATTCAAGGAGCTACAAAAAAAAAACAAGCAAGCACAGAGAAACATCGGAAGATAAATGGGTCGGGTCGCTGACTCTGTTTGAGCTCCTTCTTTAGTCCCACACACCTCTTCACTCCCTTGGAATCCGTATACTTGCGCACAGTCTTACCCATGCACTGGTTTTGCTGCTCACGGGACATGTACCCAGCTCTTTGCGCCACAGCATTGGCCAAGCGCTCCGTGTTCGACCAAATGCGGTGCAGCTTGGGAGTAGCACCACCAAACATTCCCATGTAAAATGTCGTAGTGATGACCTCCAACCCACAGGAAGTCAAGGAAAAACACATCTCTCAAATTTATTTGGTAGCTGGTTGGACACAAACAAATATCCTCAGTGGCTCCTGTCAGGTGACCCAAAAGAAAGGCTTCTAGATTAAACAGGCATTGTTACAATGGTTGGGACAGAAAGACATTCCCAGACCACTCCATGGCAAACACCAGCAAAAACGCTATCGTCTATCTATTTTCTATTGGGTTTTCATAGTGTGTGTTGTTCCATTATGTTCCATTCGTTTAACAGTGAAATCAGACATCTTTCCCGGTGATCTGGAATGGACCGCCTGAATCTGGGACCATACGTACTGCACGCAAGGCAAATCTGGCAAAGCAGACCCGGAAGGCTGCTCGAGGAACCAAACCAGGGCCCGGCATGAAGCCAGAATCAACAGTAGCGCAACACGGGATGCTAGAATGTTGCCACAGCTGACAAAATCATAACCTCGATTTCCGTATGGGTGCAGCCAATCACGGCCATGTGTGTTGCGACACCTGAGAATGGCGCCGCAGTGAAGATCGACCCAGCATGAAGTTTGGGTGAACTGATAAACCAGTTCGTAAGTGCTTGGACCCAATTGCCAAACAGGCACATCTTTGAGAAGGACCGGCAATCCAACGCAATGACCACGAGCGCCCCTGGGCGACACCTCATAACCTCTGCCAAAGCTAGCCTCACTTGATGCAAGAATTCATTCTAGAATGCACGCAAGTAACGCGTAAATACCCAGCGCTCAACCCACACCTAAAGCCCCAATGTCACACAAATGTCAGCAAGGAGCGCAAAACCTGCTGACCTTGTGAGGTCAGAAGCACGGTCATTGTAGTCTCGATCGATGGCAGCTCCACGCAGGCCAACCTATGGTGTGACATAAAGACCCCAAACCCCAAGATGCCTAGGAAGGCTCGCCAATAGGCCAACAAACTTGCACAGAAACCTGTCACATCCTTTTTGAAAAGTGACCTTTCTCAGTGCCTAGGTGACTTGGGCTTGTCCACTGAACAGCTCCACAAAATCTCGGTCCTTGGCAGCAAAATGTTCGCTAACGCGCACGTCACATGTCCCAAAACAAGTACAAAGAGAAGGTTGCCAGAAGTTCGAGGGGAAATATTACAACCTCAAAAAAACAAACACAAGATGCCATCATGCGCCGATATCTCACTAGAGATGTTGTCCAGAAATTTGAAACGCCGGCCATATGATAATGAAAGCGACCATCCAAGGAAACATGTGGAGGATCGTGGAGGTATATTTATATAGGCCGGAAATATACAGAATGTCCAATACCAAAGAGATACCAGTGCAGCTTAAATTCAACCGTGTGCTTTAGCTCCTGGTTCCATTGTACCAAGAGAACTGCCAAGATCAAAACACCAGGCGCCCCCCAACGTAGAAGGTCTCGAACGACCATGGTGGCAAACCAAGAACGCCAAGAATAACCAACGCTATTTTGCCAAAATGGCTATGGCTATTGAAATATCATGAAGCAGCTTCGGCCTCGATTTGAAGGCAACCTGTAGACGCACACACAATAGTCTTAACCAGCTTATTTTTGTCTCGTGCTGACATGTGTTGGGCAAATACCCCGTGCCCTTGTAGAGTGAACTCTTAGGTTCAACAATAGATATCAGAGAGCAGTCTTCTTCAAGATTGCTCTGCAGTTGGAGCCCATGGGTTCGACAAGGATCCCTTGGGTAGAAATCTTCGTTTCTTCAACTCAACAACCGAAACCTGCCCTAGGTATGATGCCTTAGCTTCGCTTGCATCCCACAAGGCTTTTGCCTCCTGAAAGGTCTTTCCCTCAGCCTTTCTTTCCCCAAGAAACTTGGCCCGAATGGACCCATACTCCCAAGAAGAGTCCTTTCTCTTGGGCAAGTTGGTCTTCGCCTTGGCCCGTGCTGGCGTGGTTTCTGCCGGTTGAGGTGTGACAGAACTCTTCCCTGGTTGCCCTTTGGCAGCACCGCCACCCGATGGTTGTGGCCCAGCGTTTGGTGCTGCCCCCTCTGCGCTGTTCTTCTCCATTTCCTTGATGTATTGGGAATGCTGTGGGAAAGGATCCACCGGTTTGGCAAGTTGCTTCTGAAGAGACTCAAGCACCTTAGCTAGAGTCTTGTGTGAGAACACAGATAACAAAAATACACACATTCAAACACACATTGAATCAAATAGCAGATTGTTGTATATGCATGGGGGGTCACATATCCAGGGAGGACATACTTGCTGTTTGCCTCTGACTGTTGGGGCTTTTGGGGCTCTGCCCCAACTGAAGCTTGTGTAGCTCGCGGTGGCTGCATTCCCTTAAGCATAGCAGTCACCAGTTCAACCCGAGTTGGCTGTCCCAATGGAGGTAACCCATGATCATTGATTGTGATAGTTTGGTCTTTGATTGTGATAGTTTCATTTTTT